TTTTCCTCAGACGTCTTGACCGACCAACAAGACGAGTCAAAGACGATCGTTTTTTTCGACGCCTCTGTCCATCATTCAACTCTCCCATGTAAAAATCACCCAATCGATTTTGCCTACTTTTGCCGAGGCGGCTGCGAAGTTTCCCCATCATGAGCCCAACTAAGTCACCTACTGAATCAAGCGTCCATCAATTCGACTCACAAAATCATCCACATTCGCTACACGTCATTCTCCCCTCTTGCAATAGCCTAATTTCCTGCTGGACAATACAACGCGGGTTTGCACCCCTTCGTATCACCCTGATAGTTCCGCGTGGCACTCCATTGTACACGGAGAATGCCCCCACTTGAATCGCCCAACTGTGGAGATTTAGACTTGTTTATGTTTTCCGATCGACACATTGTGCACTCTGCGGAAGGACCCCCAAAGTATTTCATTTTTGATCTTGATTTGGGTGATATGGGAGATTCGAAGGTCACTAGGGCTACGGTGGAGCACTGGTCGTCCATGTATCAGGAGATCGACAACGAAACACTAATCGAGAAAAACAATCCTTAAGTTCGAAACAGGCTCCTTCGTTTTCTTCTTCAAAATCACTCCGAATTATTCGTATATTTTCCCCAATGGCACCTCATTAATCTCTATCTACCCGAGTCAGGGTTTTTGGCTGCGAAAGCAACTACATCGCATAGTTACAAACTAGACGGCACATCACCGAGAGAAACAAGAAACAAAAATAGCATGGCTTCACAATTCGCCGCAACTCTTCAAACCCCGATCTCCGGATTGTAATATTTTCGAAAAACGCAAAAATTCCGCAACATTGGCACCCATTTCCAGGGGTCACTCACGAACCACCGTACGTCCAACTCAAGCAACACCAACACATCGCAAAGCAATAAGAAATCAACAGATCAAATCACACAAAACCACTGTCTCGTAAACACTAACCATTTCAATCAAGTCACAAAAGAAATGGTACCTCCGCTTTCTCTATTACACTTCCTCCCCACCAACCTGTGTGCCGATAAGCCGCGACCAGCAAGCCCTAGAAAGGCCACCAATCGTCGAAAAAAAAGCCCCTTACTTTTGGCTAAAGAGGATCAAGCGCTTTTGGCCCGGCAAATCCACACAATCTTTCATCAAAAAAAAGCCATCCTTCACTTTGCTGTTGCACCCAAATCTGCCCCAACCCTGCAACTCAAAAACCACCTCCAAGTCCGCGCGTAAACTCTTCTCAACTACAACATGGGTGTGTGCTGCAGCTGCTTAACGCTGTCTAGCGGCGACGGAAAGTACCCGCCGCTTCTCCTTGCTGAAAACGAACGAGAGGCAATCACCGCGTTGCTTCAGTATCTCGAAAACAGAAGCGATGTCGACTTTTTTAGCGACGGGCCCTTGCGCTCCTTGAGCACCTTGGTGTACCTGGAGAACATCGACTTGCAGCGACTGGCGGCGTTGGCGTTTGCCGAAATCACCGAGAAGGACGTCCGGGAGGTCAACAGAGACGTGCTCGAGCCGATTTTGATTCTTTTGCAGAGCAACGATACCGAAGTCCAGAGAGCGGCCTGCGGAGCCTTGGGCAATCTTGCCGTCAACAACGAGAACAAGGCGCTTATTGCCGAGATGGGCGGCATTGAACCGTTGATCAGACAGATGATGCTGCTGAATATCGAGGTGCAATGCAACGCTGTCGGGTGTATCACCAACCTTGCGACCCAGGACGACAACAAGTCCAAGATCGCCAAGCTGGGCGCCCTTATCCCGCTCACTAAGCTCGCCAAACTGAAGGATATCCGCGTGCAGCGGAACGCCACGGGCGCTTTGCTCAACATGACCCATTCGTTTGAAAACAGACTGGAGTTGGTCAACGCAGGTGCTGTGCCTGTGCTCGTCTCCCTCTTGTCCAGCGACGACGCCGATGTCCAGTACTACTGCACCACAGCCTTGCTGAACATTGCCGTGGACGAGCTGAACAGAAAGAAGTTGGCAGCTACCGAGCCCAAGCTTGTTGGCCAATTGGTGGCCTTGATGGACTCACCGCTGCCCCGTGTCCAGTGCCAGGCCACTTTGGCACTTCGTAACCTCGCCTCGGACTCGGGCTACCAGGTGGACATTGTGCGTGCTGGCGGACTACCTCACTTGGTGCAGCTCTTGACTTGCAACCACCAGCCTTTGGTGTTGGCTGCCGTGGCTTGCATCCGTAACATCTCTATTCATCCATTGAACGAGGCTCTCATAATCGAAGCAGGCTTCTTGAAACCTTTAGTCGCGTTGTTGGATTACAATGAGCTGGAAGAGATCCAGTGCCATGCCATCTCCACCTTGCGGAACCTCGCTGCCTCCAGCGAGCGCAACCGTTTGGCGTTGTTGAATGCTGGCGCCGTCGAAAAATGTAAAGAGCTTGTGTTGAAGGTGCCATTGTCAGTGCAGTCTGAAATCTCCGCCTGTTTTGCCATTTTGGCCTTGGCCGATGACTTGAAGCCAAAGCTTTACGAAAGCCATATCATCGATGTCTTGATTCCCTTGACTTTCTCCGACAATGGTGAAGTCTGCGGCAACTCTGCCGCTGCCTTGGCCAACTTGTGTTCCCGTGTGTCTAGCGAGCACAAGAACTACATTCTTGATAACTGGAACAGCCCCGAGGAAGGAATTTATGGTTTCTTGATGCGTTTCTTGCAAAGCGGTAGCGCTACATTCGAGCACATTGCATTGTGGACCATTTTGCAGCTTCTTGAGTCCAACAATGACGAGATTCAGGCCTTGATCAAGGAGAATGAGTCAGTGCTTCTTGGTATCAAGAACTTGAGTGAGAGCCAGCAGCAGAGTAATCCCGCTGCAAGTAACGCAGAGCTGAATGAGTTTGATGATCCAAAGGTGGAGCTCTACAATTTGACCCAACAGATCTTGCAGATCTTGGGTTAAGCGCATGTTGATCGAGGTTATGTCCAGATAAACGGCCGTTCGTAACCTGTTATAGTGAAGTATAATTACGAAGGCTTCTACGATGAATTTTTTTTCGAAAATGTATTTCTCTCTGTAAGCTATACGCTTAGCTATGCAATAACTGAGGCTCTTCCTTCTCGCTTTTAGGAGCCTCAGGAGGACTGGTGTCCTGGATATTCAAATTCTCTAATTTCTTGTGCAATTCGGAATCGGACTTCTCCTTCTTTCCACTCTTTCCGGCCTTTGCCAATTCTTCTTTCTCTAAGAGCTCGAGCTCGTCGTCCACCGCTGCCTCATCAATACCATCTGTCGAAACCACGAGTGAATCAGAGATAGTGTTGGTGGCAGCGATTTCCTCATCGAGCTCCAGCTGAAGCTCATCGAGGTCATCCAACGAGACCTTCTCATTCAACGATTGGAGTGTTGCCTTCGTGGACTGCAAGGTCTCGAACAAGGAAGCATTACCCTGTGCGTCATTGACAGCCTCCAACAATGTAACCAATTGGTTGGAAGCCGCTTCGCATTTGAGAAGTGACTTCTTCACCTGTGCCTTTTGTATGAGGATGTTTTTCAACCGCTCCTGGCGATCGGAGTCCTTGAGCTTGAGAAGACTCTTGATGCGCTCGGGTATCTCATTGTCTAAGCGATGCTCCAAGACTTTTGAGCGCAGAGCAAGGCTTTGGATGCTGCCCTTCAACCTGATGATAGATATGTCATCCTCCGAAATCTCGGCTTCGCTGGTACCAAACTTGATATAGATTCTGTCGGATTTGCTGTTCTGCTTAACTAGGGTCATCTTTCCCGCATCTCGCGCAATATATGTGTGGAGTACATCGATATCGGAGTCACTGATATGATCGTGCACTTGCCTCACGACAGCAGCGAACATGTCGCCATCGAGTAACCTGCTCGAGTAGACGCCTTCCTTATCAATTCTTTGTTGCACAAGCTTGGTCACCTCATCGCCAACAGCAGCCAAGTTATCTATGTGTATGTAGCTCTCTGGTAGCAAGGTACCTGCCTTTGAGCTCTTGAACGACGAGAGCTTCATCAGCGCCCATGTGGCCAGGAGCCACTTCATGGGGGAGATGTAGTCCGCAATACTGCGAGAGGTGTATGGCGAGGTATCCTTGTAGATGGACAATGGGATGTACTTTTTCGACCGAACAAGCTCGTCTAGCACGAGGCCCAACGCCTTGGGCTCTCCATGCTTGGAATGCCTCAAGGACACAGCGAGGCCGGAGGATGTGATCGACACGGAGGACTTGAAAAAATGTGATTTTAGACCCTCTAAAAGCAATGCAGACCACGCATCGATGTTAGCGGCAAATCCCTCGGGATTGAGCTCGCGGAGCTCAACAAAATCCGAGTATAGTGACGGAAGTCGCAGCTCCTTGAAAGAAGGCACCTTTTTCGCCAAATCGTCCATGGTGAAGAAGAAGAGGATGTGGAGCTCCTAGTGCCGAGAAGTAGATCCCTGGATCAAGCATTAGACGATGTTCGCGCCATGCACTGTGTGCACTAGCACATTTGCAGCCAAAACCAGATTCCGAGGGGGCATTATCTGGGCGAAAATTAGCGACATGGCTAGCGTCGAAGCCATTTAACGGTGGTTGACGAGAAGCTTATTTAGGAGAAACGCCACAAAGGGCGGTTTTAGCATTCCCGCATGTCGTCATCGACTAAAACGCCCTAAAAGGCCAAGACGAGTAGAAATTAGGTTGTCAAGTCGAGTCCTATGCGCCTATTCTGGTCCCCTGAATCACTGACCCCTAACTCGTCAATGGTGGGAGTTTACCCGCATATGCAGCGGACCGCCACAATATATGAGTATGTGGACCCCACTTGGTTCGAATTATCACTGACCAATACCGTGGGGGTAAGATGCCCTTAGATCCCCGAAAGTCCGTTGACTAGGTGGATGCGGCTTCCTCACTCTAGTCCAGCCATTCTAGGCCGCTTCCTCGGTCAGCCGTGGACACACGAGGCTTTGGTGAATGGTGGTGATTGAAGCCTGCTTAGCCTCGTGGTGTATTGTCTTTCACATTAAATACTCAGGCAAGGTTGAGCTTGTTGAGGTCCACCTCCAATTGGTCAACCTGGTCCTGAAGTCTCTCCACCACATCTAAAATAGCCGTCGAGGCGGGCGAGTCAGCGTAGTCATCAAAAAAACACTCGCCGCTATCACAGGCCCGTCCAATTCTGGGATCAAGCGGCACAGAGCCCAAAAATGGAATGTTCATATCTTTGCAAAGCTGCTCTCCACCGCCAGTAGTAGGCCTGAAGATTTGCAGCTCGCCATGGCAGCCAGGGCACACGAACCCGGACATGTTCTCCACAAGACCGAGGATCTTGATGTTGGCCTTGCGGCAAAAGTCTATCTCTTTCCTGACATCCAAAAGAGCCACCTCTTGCGGCGTCGTCACAAGAAGCGCTCCGTCAATACCAGCGTCTTTCATGTATGTAGTTACGGAAAGATGCTCGTCACTTGTACCTGGAGGTGTATCCACGATAAGGTAGTCTAGATGGTCACCCCAGTTGACATCCTTAAGGAACTGCTTTATGAGACCGTTTTTCTTGTTACCACGCCAGATAATCGCCAGATCGGGGTCAGGAAGCATGAAGGAAATAGACATGAGGCCAAGGTTGTCTGCAACATACACTGGAGACCAGCCTGAGTTGGACTGATGGATGCTCTCACCTTCTGCTCCAAGCATACGAGGAAGCGAAGGACCACAAATATCTAGATCCATAGCACCCACTTCGAGCTCTTCGTCTGCAGCAAGAGCCCATGCTAACATGGATGAAAAGGTAGACTTACCCACTCCTCCTTTGCCCGAAAGCACAAGGATCTTATGCTGAATATTCAGAAGTCTTTCGGTAATAGCCGGAATATCGGGATCCGGACCCTTCGGAAGCGACTCACATATACTCTGATTGGCACATCCGTTGCAGGCGTCTCCTTTACCAGCGTTTTCTGATTCTGGACCTGGACAGTGTTCTGGTTCAGGAGCTTTTAAAGGCACGTTTGCCGTCTGTGACTGTATGGTGCCGTTTTCTGGAGCACTAGGCGGTACAGGCACCTTTACTGAAGGAGCCATTTTTATGAAATTAGGTTGTAGTGGTGTTACTTGTATCGGTTGATGTACGATAAGATGATCTTAGTAATAGTATACATGTGGTGTACGGGTGCGATGCCTGTCAGACGCACCTAAGTACTGGCTGCAAAACGGCCTTTGAAATAGACCCTTTCGTTTTCGCCCAAGTTGACTGCTTGGATTTTCTGCTGAGCATCTGGGATGGGTTCACGGCCTTCTATAGCGAGGTCTCCGGCTAACTTCACCATAACGCTGACGGCAGCGCGTATTATGACCAGATCGTTGTTGCTGAACTGTGCGATGTTCTCGAGAAGGAAGACAATCTTCTGGGGATCGATATCCTCAAACTTGTCGTATGCTTGGCGAACTTCGAAATAGGCCAGGAAAAGACCACCGCCTTGGTTCCACGATGGAATGATCCGGCCTTGGTCTGGGAAGCGGTCGATCATGGCTAGAAGTCGACTCCAATGAGCAGGGTTTCTCAGAATAACAGAAGTGGGGCCAAGTTCGGCAACAATGTTCTCGTGGACCTTGTCCCACAACTCCGCCGTGACAAGCGCATCGCCTTTACCCCAGAAGTCCTTCTCCTTGTCTCTGTGCTCGGCGACTGCCTCGTAAATCAAGCTTCTTGGGACCTTGAGCACTTGCACAAGGTATTCCTCCTCGTCGGCAACGCCGCCCTTGATGCTCTTGACATTCTGCATGATGAGACGCCTGACGTTGTCAGAGGCCACCGCATCATCAGAGATCATGGCGTAGATGAAAAGCGCTTCTTTCCAGAGTCCAGAGTGTTCCAAACCTGAGCTGAACTTCTGACAAATGGAGTCGCCAGTGGTTGAATCAAGGCCCAAGAGCTGAGCGAGAGTCCATTTGAGCAAGATGCTAACATCAGCTCCCTGAAGTGCCTGGCTTGCCTGCTTAGGTCCTGACTTCTCGAAAGATTTATAGAATTGAAGAAGCTCGGCAATTTCGCCCTGATCACTTGCAAAATTCACCTCTTCCAAAAGGTCTGGGATTGATCTCGTGGAACTGTCGTAGTTCACAAGTACCGAGAGCTTCTCAGCTGGGCTCACCAAAGCATCTAATGAGCTGAAGTCGCCACTCAAGATGCGATAGATATTGATGATAGGCTGGGGAACCAAGTTATCCTCCGTGGGCCAATCTTCAAGCTGCGACTTTGCAATTTCTCTCGCGGCTTTATCGTTGGAATCAAGAAGGGTCAACAAAACGGATAAGTGCACGTTTCTTGAAGAAATGGCAAGTTCAATGGCCTCCTTCAATTGACCGTTCACAACTTTGATGAAAATATTATGCAATGCATCCCCCGTGGGTTGAAGCTTGTCCTTGTTGTATTTTCGAAGCCATTGGGAGAGTGCTGATCTTTGCTCAATCTGCTGAAGACGATTAATGAGTTGACCATCATTCTCATTCACATCTTTGTATTTGGGGATGCTGGCGATGTGGATGGGGTCAAACAAGATTGAAGCCAACTTGAAAGTCTCGAAATCCTCCTGGTCGATGCCCGCAATTTGAGCAAAGGTGATGCTGGGTGGGAGTTTCGTCAACGGGAGTCCGTTTGGTCTGGACGTCACGGGTGAATTGAGTAGAAGTGTCTGAACAAGTGATGTGATGATTCTTTTGTTGAATGTGGGTTGCGGCTCGAAACTCTGGGCGGGTGCCTTTTCCTTGATGGGCGTCGAGACCTGATCGATACCCACGGAACTCTTGTTAAAATCCGAGAAAAGAATGTCGTTGACGTTTTGAAGTGCCAGGCCAGACTTGCGGGGGATAGCCACATACGGCGCCAATGAAGAGTTCAAGTCATTGGACATCTCAAGTTGCACAAGCCAGTCTTCAGAAGTTGGCAAGTTCACGGGCCTCTTCAAATTAAGGAAAGCTTGATCACTTTCAAGAACCGGCTCGTATGCCTTTTCGTCGACAAGACTCTTCATGTCTGTGTAAGGAGGCAAGACGCTGACAATCTGCTTTAAATAGTTAAATTTTTCGTCATCGGCGAATGGTGCTGGGATGAGGGCATCTTCCTCTTCAGCTTCGTCTTCACTTGACTGAACTGTGATGTCACTCACGTTTGCAGCTAATGCATCAGCAGTGTGATCTTCCTTGTATGCCTTGACCTGTCGCGTGATTTCCTCCTCAATTGCCCTTTGTTTCATGGACAAGGTGTTGTCGTGTTGAGCTATGCTACCATAGTCCCATGCACCAGGAACACCTTCGCTTTGTTTTATAATCTTCTGACGCTTGATCTCCTTTTGGTATGCGGGATCCTCGTAGATCCTTGAATAAACACGAGAAGATTCTTCCTCCTGCTCGTCCTGCTTCTTCTTCACCGCACGTATACGTTTACGTTCCACTGATTCGTCAGCCTCGTCTTCGCTATCGTCAATCAAGCCCCATACACTGAAGTGCTTGACTTTGAAAGTCCAGTAGAACTCAATGGGGTCGTAGGTGATAAACTCGGCACCCACGACGTTCTTCAAGCGCTTTATGTGGTCTTCAAGCGACCTCTTTCTGGGCTCAGATTTCAATGTAATAATGGCAGGAACGTTGAGCTCTCGACTGATAGGTGGCTTCGCAGCTTCGTAGTCGAAGTAGACCTTGACAAAGCCGTCTTCAATCTTGATGATATCGTCAAAAATGATAGATGAGACAGGAACATCGTTAGCTCTGCTTCTGTCGAATACAGTCGTGAGATCCACGGGGAAGATGTATGTAATCTGGCCCTTTGTCTTGCGACCCACAATGAAGTTGTCAACTGAGGACAATTGTTCGTCAGTCATGTTTTCAAGCTCAGCAATTGATGGAGAGCACCAGTAACCGCCGTAGATCTCGGACTCATCGACCTGCTCCTTAGGTTGTGGGGTCACTTCTTTCTTGAACAGTTCCTTTTCTTGTAGAGCATCCTGAGCGTTGTCAAGATCGTCATAGTTCGTGCTTGTGAGTTTATCATCAAGGGATTGGATCAACACTCTTCTTTTCTTAGCGCTAAAGACCTTATCGGCATTAATCTGATGAAACTTGCTTGGTCTTGACTGAATGACAAGACGCTTGACGTCACCAACGGACTTGTTTTCTATAGGCAATCTAGCGAGTCGCTTTTGTGGTTTCTTTACGGCGTAATCCAGCCTAGAGTGTGGGGTATCACGAATGTAGTTCAGCTGGGTAAAGAGACCCTTCAATTTACCCACACTCAGACTTGATCCGGACGCTTCTGTGTTGTAACGAAAGATATTGAAGGTCTGAGCCAATTTTCCAAGCAAAGACGATTTTCTCTGGGGCTCCTTGGACGATGCTGAAACCGATGCCAGTCTATTGGACGTGCTGTTTGCAAAAAGCGAGCCTGTGAGTGAAGCAGGCATTGTATCGGCTGAATGCTGGATGGTGGACAAAATCAGGCTGCTATTGTATGGGTCGGGCTTGTTGACGGACACTTGCTGTGGCTGCTGAGTCGAATTGCCAAAAAGTCCACCTGCAGTTGCTGGTTTGTTTAATGTATCATTGGACGACCCAAAGAGCCCGCCAGAAGGTTTGCTTCCAAACAAGCCACCACCTGTAGAGGGATTGGAGGCATTGGTGGTATTGCTGTTGCCAAAGAGGCCTCCAGATCCAGCGGTACTTGTATTGTTAGTTGTTGTAGAGTTGCCAAAAAGACCACCACTAGGTTTATTGAGAAGGCTTGAGCCCGTCGAGGCCGTAGGGCCTGCCTGACTAGTACTGTTGCCAAAAAGGCCACCTGGCTTTGACCCTGAATTGCCAAAAAGGCCGCCACTGGGTGCCTGTGATGTTGTAGATGAGTTTCCAAAAAGGCCTCCAGACGGCTGGGAGGTGGATGAATTTCCGAAAAGCCCCGTACTGGCTCTCTTGTTGGGACCGGTTTGCGAATTTCCAAAAAGACCGCCGCCCAGAGCTCCAAGTCCTGGGTTTGCTGATGTAGTGTTGTTGTTGTTTTGAGTAGACGAATTGCCAAATAAGCCACCGCCAGGATTCGTAGATCCGGCTGCCGGGTTGCTCGAATTGGCACTGTTGCCGAATCCGGTCGAGCTGCCCCAGCTGGAGCTGCCAAAATTCATTCTATATGGAAACTTCGATGGATTATGGTGATGTGAGAGTGCACTACGAAAAACTTTAGTACTACTGGCGCTTGTGTACAGGATCTTCACCAAGTTGGATTCGTTACAATTAATATACATCAGGACGGGAGACTACTGCTCGGCGACTCCCACACGCAAGTACAGCTCGGCACAGTACCAGAACTTGTCGAACTTTCTCAAACCGGCCCGCGTGTTGTACAAGGCGTTAGGTATGCCCGCATCAACCACATAGTGCGACACCTCGTCATGGCCGCCGCCTATTATTCTGTTGTTGTATGCATGAAGTAAGCCGCTGATGGGCAAGCCCAACGAGACCACATAGCGACTGTGGAAAAGGAGGTCGGTCTCTAGAACGGTTCCAGAGCCGCCATCGATGCCTGAAGGAATGTCGAGTGAAAGGACGCGAGATCTCTGTTTAGGTTCATTGACCCAGCTGGAAAGCTCCTTGAGTGTGGTGAGGTTCTCTTCCGAGTAGAACATGTCGAGAAGGTGTCCTTCGAAGCCTTGGAGCGCGTCAATGATCAACTCAACTGGTGTTTCAAGCTGGTTGTTCAAGATATCCAACAACACAGCAAACTCCGCCGAAATGCATTTACCACCAAACTTCTCGAAAAGCTCAGACTCTCTGCGGGTCTCCTCGTCCAAATCGCTGTCGTTGATAACGTAGGCCAAAACACGAACACCGTGGTTGGTCAAATGACGCCCTAGCGCAAATGCACGGCTGCTTGATCTACCATTGCCGATCAATAACAAGACCAATGGTGGCAAGTTGTGGTTTTTTCTGTTGCTAAGACGGACAGAACCGCCAAGAATCTCTTTGACCACCAAGTTGTAAAGATTAATGCCGGTGGTTTCGATCATTGCACGCTGATCATAAGCAAAGGTCTCATTGGC